ATATATATATATATATATATATATATATATATATCAGTTAGCTGTTTCGGCTTTATTTAGGGTTTTGCCCTGACTTTTCCTCATTTTTTTCTATCCCAAAAAAACTACTCGCTTTTTTTTCCAACTTAACTTCTTCAGTTGCTAAATTTTTTACTTTCTATTATTCTTTTATGTTTTATATGTTGTTTTTTTCGTTATTTCACTGTGAAATTGATGACATTAAAGTGCTGCGAAAAATGATTTATGATGACAAATTTGAAAAACATGAACAGTAGCGAAAAAAAAAAGAAAAAGGAGAAAAAAGGCAGAAATAAAACCGTTAAAAATGCTGTTTCGCTTTATTTTTTCTCGTTATTCCTTTTTTTCTCAAGTTTTTCAGATTCTAAGTTGCATAAACAAGAAAAAAAGCACAAAAAAAAGTGGAAATTTTATGATTATTATCATAGTTAAAAACAGTAGCAGGACTTAATGACAATGATGGCAATAACTGAAGTTATATGGTTGTTAAACTACGCTAAATAAGTTGCGGAAACAGTGATTGAATAGTAATTAGTGGAGAAATAAATACCAATAGCAAATGATTAGTATGGAAATCGAATACCATTTTCTTGGTTAAACTCTCGTTCACCACTAACCGGCTGTATCCATGAGGTATGCCGTCCTTCCATCAGTTTAACATAGTATTGTACTGAATAATTACTGTTGCATAAATCGGTTTGACAACAGTCATTGCAATGTGCAATATCTAAGCCATAACCGTCTAGATCACAGGAATTTGTACAACTTTGAGCACAGCCTCGAGTCACCGACGAAAATGCATCTAACGATGTATCGACGGTTGTCTATAATTACGAAACATTTGTTTAACTGCTTTTGTGTTGTCCAATTTTCGTATTAATCACTCTTACATTTTAAACAAATTTTATGTGTAAGATAAGTAAAAAAACTGAAAGTTTTTAGTTAAATGGTATATAAAAGTAAATAAGAAATTTTTCTTTTAATATATCAAATACATTGATTAATTGCCCACATAAATTTTCATGAATTTTTGATTAACAATTGACACAGCTCTTTTCTGAAGTCTTTCCTACCTCGTGTTACTTCTGTTGCTTCTAACCTTTTTTATCTGTTGATTACAGTTATTTAAATTTCAAGAAAAAAAAATTTAATTATTTCTTTTTTTATTGTTGTTTTTATTTCTGAACACATTTGTAACATTTTGATTATAATAAAGCAAAAAAGAAAAATTATCTAATATTTTTATCATTGTCTATTTATATATTATCATTCAAAATACTTCACTGTTGACAACAATTTTTTTGCATTATAATTTAAAACAAAACGTTCCTCTCATTTCATTCGTTTTTTATAAACGAAGAAATTATTTTAATAAATGAGATAATCACTCAGTTAATACAGAAATAACTCATAAGGTTTCAGTGATCTAAAATAAATTTTCCATTAAGCTGTCTTTATGACCAAATAATTTTATTGCAAAATATTTTTGCCAAAATTATACTGTTATTAATCCTTAAAAATTTAAGCACAAAAATAAAGAAAGATAAAATTGATCATTTACCACACAGTATTCTTCCCAAGGCGCGCATGGTCGTACGGTTCGATCAGAATCGATGATCACCAATGTTTCGTTAGCACAAAAATAGTCCTCAATCTTTAATGATTCAGTAATCAGTGAATAGGTACAAGAGTAGCATTTAAGGCAGCTACAATTCTGATTTAGATAGCCCAGAAAAATCAGGATGACAGCAGTTGTATAGGTAGCAGATTTTTTAACCATTATCGTTCTGATGTCAAGTGGATAAATAATTTTGATTAATAATCATAACTGTGAAAAAAAAACCAGTATCAGTTCTATTTTTTTTTTCGTGAGTATATATTTCATAGTTATGAAATAAATAATTAAAATTCTTTATTAACATTATAATAGTTAACATAAATTTTAACGTATTATCGTATCTTTTTTTTTCCGCTTTAAATACGATAACAAATTATGGCTTTCACTTTATATATTTAAAAGAAACAGTAAAATTTTGTAAAAAAGAATATTTGCTGCTGCCAAAATAAATCTATTTTATTGCTGTTTTGTTATTTTGGTTTATGTACATTTGCCTTATCACATTGTCAAATATGTTCATCTATACAATGGAAAACATTTGTCTTACTGGATGACATTTTTAACAATTTTATCTTTTTTCTTTTCTTTTTTTTTTGTCCAACTTATATTCTTTTGTTTGATTGTTAACCATAAAGAAAGAGGAAAAAACTATCACTAAAAATTTGGTTAGTTTTATTGTTCTGCTTTTACACTTTCCCTCTCCTGTAGCACTGAAATCGATCAGTGAACAATTCAATAAGAAGACAAGAAATAAATTTGTTTTGCCTTTTTTTTTCTTCCCTTTAGTTGGGCTTTTTTTTTTTTTTTTTCGTTTTGAATTATGCAGTTTTTTTTTTGCCAGTAATATCAGAATAACTTTGAAACTTAACAAAAAATCAGCAAGTAGTTTTTGGTGTTTATCATATGAAACATTTAAAACAAAATCTAATAGAAAAAAAATGCGATAAGTAAAAAAAAAAGAATAACAAATGCAAAATATCGTTAACATACGTAAATGGTATGAATACACGAAAAAATTTATCAAGAATTTCCCTGCCAAAAAATGAGCTATCGAACACTTAACCAATACGTATATATCAGGTTCACTGAGGGAAAGAAGAAAAGACTAGGAAAACCCAAAACCTTTATCTCACAGAGCTTTATAAACCTCAAAAATTATTAGCGTTCTCAAAATCTAGAAAAAAAAATCTACATAAGCCATAAACGAGAAGAAAAACAGGAAGAAATAAATTAACAACCAAAACAACGACTATGACCGATAGCGTTAAACGGTGTGCTGTATAAAAAGTAATAACAAAATTTTGCTTACAATGATTTGATTTGCTGTGCTTTTTCCTTTTTTCTTCGTCACCTAAAAACTTGTTCATTTTTCAGGATTTTGGACCAACATTTATTTTCTGTTTTCAACTGTTCACATTTACTGCTCGAAAATAACAGGAAAAAAAGGGTTATATTCGTTGGATCGATTAGGCAAAAATAAAAAAAATTATAAAAAGAAGAAGAAAGAAAAGAAAAAAAACCCGACAATTTGGTGAAAAATAATGCTTAAAAAATGAAGCAGTTTTGATTGATAATTGTCTAAATATTATATTAAAGACTTGTGGAAGTCTTTTTTGAGCGGATATTATCCGTCACTATATCCCGGTGCCATTTTTCTGGATATTCGACAAGCAGTGGAATAGAGTTAAAAAAATTCTTCTTCTTGCAATCCTTTCTTTTTGTTCTTATTTTTGTTTCTTTCCCCCTTCTTTAGTCTATTCTACTATTCTCGATTCTGCATCATCAATTTTGTTCAAAAATTTTCTCCCTCATCACCGCTGTATATCGCACAAATATATCAAAAAATAGCCTTTGAATTCCAACAACAACAACAACAGAAACAACAACAACGATAACAATCAGCAGTAACAGTATAAAAATAATAATAATAATAGCAGCAATAATAATTAGACTAATAAGGAGTTG